ACAGAATGAACATAAACTTGATGACAGAAACATATAAGAAGTAAAAATAATTCGAAAACATGCCAAATCTGTGTCCACCGTTTATACCACCACACCAATTATATAGTTTTGTTGATATATTGATAACATATAGACAAGACAAAACAAAAATGAGTGAACATTTAAAACCATTGTTTTAAATGAAATTAACAAATTGCAAATACTTTATTGTTCATATCACTGTAAACATAAGATATAATCATTCGTTTGGCTAGTTTAAAACTGAAATATCCTTTGTAACTGTTAATATTTTTGAAAATGCAAGTATTTCAGATATGTACTTATTTATACATATACAATAATTACATTAAATCATATCTGTTATTATTATTATTAGCGAGCTGGACACCAAAAATAATTAGCAGAGAAGCTGTTGCTCTCCATTGAATATACTGTCCATGTACAAGGATTTTTTTTTTAATGGCAGAATAGGGTAAACAATTTGTAATTTACAAATCTGAACAAGGCTGAAATGTGCTGTAAACTTAGCCAGATGCAGAAGGTTAAAATGAGTGTGCCATCTGTTTGGGAGCGAGGTCAGTTCGAGACAGGCCCACAACCAAGGACAAGACCAAAAGCAGCCAGATATTGAGACATGGTAAGGGCAGACGTTACGGGTCAGGTGTCGACCGTGCAACAATTTTGAGATCTGGGTGAAGCAGAGATGCAACGGTGTCCATCGCTTTGGCGACGATGACCACTGCTTAGATTTTCCATAGAGAGCCATGCATTATTTAGTTGCAATTGGAATAAGAAGCACGCAATTACAATTTACAGGCTTTGCTATTTGTTCAGATTGTGGTGCATTGATTCTGAGGTGAAAAGTGAAGTTTGAATTGGTACCAGCAATGGCATTGGCTTTGTCTCTGATGTGTGGATTTTTTTTAATTTACCAATGGATGAATGCACGCATCGGAGATTTCCAGAATAATTGATGAGGTTATTTGCATTCAAGCAAATTTCTCTCTCCGGGATTATGAGACAACGTGTTCAGCTCAAATGTGTGCTGTCATGTGCACCTCAGATGCCATTCTTGAGCACAACATGCCCCGGTACAAACCAGCTTTTAGTAACGTTTATGTCCGTTGCTGCAAGAGAATTTACAATTCAGTTGTATAGAGGTGTTTTATCGTTATCTTTCGTAAATTCATTATGCCATTCGTTTAGGAAATATGACTATTCAAAATAATATTAAAAGAAAATCTAATCGAATAAAATTGTATTTTTATGATTGCAAAGTTATCCACCCATTGCTTACAATTGTGCACTCATATGATTGCAATATAGACATTTCGGATATTGAAACATTCAAACAATTTAATGCACAATGGAGCCAAAATGTTTGTTGTCAACCAGAGTGTGAGGCTGATTGACAATGTGAATAAAATGCCAGAAGTTTGTCTTTCGGCCAAAGAGTCATTTGTGAAAGTATAATTGTAAGCTGCGAGTCTTAGTTGTTAAAACTATCATTGCTAAAACTGCACCTTTCACACTGAATGTGACTCAGAGCACCCATGGTGTATTTTTTTTATCGTGAGAAATGGTACGGAATCAGAAGCACACAATCCTGTGACATCACTGCTAAATTATGCTTGCTTGCAGAGGTTAGCTGTTCGAACCCAGGGGGCCACCCTGATTATTACTACGGGTGTGTTAACCATAAAATATGAGCTGTCTGCTTCACAGTGAACATTAAAGATCCATTCATGTCATACAAAACAAGTAGGCCGTTGCGTGCTGGCTTGACGGTTGACATTTGCCAAATTCGAATATAAGCTGCAAATTACTAAGTTAGGATTACAAACAGCAATCATCGCTGCTCACTGGCAGTCTAATGCCCAATTGTAGGTTAGGTACTGAACAGCTTCTAACCCGCCAGGGCAGCTGCCACTGGAGGTGCCCTTTCAAATGTTTGAGATGAGATGTTATATTGTGTTTAAAGCACTCCGAGATGCCCCAACATAAAAAAAAAAGTTCTTTGTCAAAAAAATAAATCATCATTATCAGTAAAGTAGCAATGTGAGACCATTGTCCTGAATGTAGGATTATGTGAAAGTTGGATTTGACTCAAATTTCAATACTCTTTTGAAGGCATCGTTAACAAAGTTGGCTGACTACTTGATCGTATGGTATTTTGCTGTGCTTATGCTATGCATTCCTTGAAATTAATATATGAACGGATTTATGTCACAAAAAGGATTCTAATTTACATAGTACACTTAAAAAAATCACAAATGCGTTCTGAAGTTGGCAGGATTGTATGGTGCAAAGAAACCATCCAATAGCAAGTATTTAGCAACATTGCCAAGTACTTGAAGACAATGCACGACATTGAAACTACTGTGCTTGAGATATTTTCAAAACCTTTCAAGAACACATTCTGAGCTCTCGACATGGTAACAAAATCTAAAATAATGTAAGCCATCTCAAACCAGTATACCATCGCCTGGAGCTTCTGTTTTAACTTCAAGTAAAACTTGTACAATGGATTTATTAATTTTCCAAACCGTATATATATATTTTTAACCACCCTACATTTCAGGATTCAAATACAACTTACAATGCGGGTAAACTAAAAAAAATTAAATACAGGTTTTTTTTTTTTTTTTTTTTTTTTTGGGGGGGGGGGGTTAGATCTCGTAAATATATAAATGTGTCGTTTAACCCGCCACCACCCGACACAGCCACTTAGTAAGGGTTGTCACGTAAACAGAACGTGCCAATTTGTCACGAGTACAGCACACCGGTGTGTTGGAGAGCAAAGCCACAACATTTACAATCTAGGTACGAAGTTTCGCCAGTAATTACAACTAGCTTCATCAGGCAATATCACTACATCTAGCCCTCTATTTAAGGGACGAAACACACAAATTTGGCTGTCGCATGATGAAGCTAGTTGTAATTACTGGCGAATCGTCGCACTCAGATTGTAAATGTTGTGGCTTCGCTGTCAAACACACTGGAGTGCTGTACTCGTAACGAATTGGCATGTTCTGCTTACGTGACAAACCTTACTAATTGGCTGTGTCGGGTGGTGGCGAGTTTAGCGACACATTTATATATTTACGCGATTTAACCCAAAAAACCTGTATTATAGATGATATTGGTCGCGAAAGCCTACGTGTTAAAATGTCTGCCTCCTCAAGCAAACGTGGAGTCATGCTGATCTACGTTGACAGCCCTGAACCATTGGAGGAAATTCCACATTTCTATGATGGGGGCAGTTCCTTCGAAAAGTCACTGCAACACACTGCTGACTTTCCCCCAAAAAGCAGTTCTTATTCACCTCTGCAGGATGATAAATTGTGTTGACCTCTGACCGAAATTTGAACTTGGGATGATACCATCGCGAGTTAAGCTCCTCGCTATGACGCCACACTGCCGGCAATAAGGAAATCGAAGTTATCATATATTGTTTTTATATATTACATAATGTATACGGTTTTAAGGGCTCGGCCACTCTTCATGGCTTGCGTTATGACACTATTAGTCACAATGGGATCTGAGACTGCACGTGCAATCACAAAGTTACATCAACTCTGCCCCCTCTCTGACCCCTCTAACCCCTTTACAATAGATGTGTAGTTTCCAGCAGGTATCATTGTAATTGTTCTTCAATACAGCTGCGACAATTGACTTGAAAACCATTTTTAAATGTGCACGTGGGGAACGTGGATTTAGCATTATGCTTTAAGTGTCATTAACATGATGGCACGCATCTAAAAAAAGGACAATTTAGAATAAGTTTCGCTTTCAGAGACACCTCCATAGGCAATCCTTGGATAATTATTAGCTTTACATGAAGTCAATGATGGAATTAATATCAAATGTTTTGAGTACCTTACAATTTCCCTTTTCAGAAGTAGTTCACATGGCAACATCGTATTAAGGAGATTTGCGGACCATACACATCCGAGTGAGACCACACACTCAAAGTAACTGAACTCTATGGACAAAACGATGAACCAACTGCTGCCACACATGCTTGAGTTTGGTTGAAGGAAAAATCAACTCATTGAAGAGCAACTTATAGAAAAGTAATCTGTGCACCCATTTCATACGGCCACATGGTTACTCTTAAGTGAAACAGACGTGACATGCGAATGCTAAATAACATTAGTACCTTTTTCACGGTAGCTATGACTAGAGTGTAGATCAAATACAATGATACCAGACCCTGTACGTTGCTAAAAGGGTATGAACGCCCATCTTGAGTATCCCTGGGTCAATTTGACGCCCAGACTCCGCTGCAGAAGGATAAAACGAGAGCGCATTTGCGAGAGGGCAAATAAATTAGGCTTTTCATCTCCTGGAAATGTTCAATGCAACATGTTGCTTCGTAGCCATTGGTTGGCAAATGCTGGATGGCTTATCTGTCTTTTGGAATGTAAAAGACATCAGTGGCTGAAAGCAATTCAACCCCCTACCTCCAGGTAATTTGAGTCTAAACATCTGTCACGTATTGGCCCAGCATCTTGCTTCATTGATGTACCAGATAGCTTTGTATCTGACCTTTTAACCTCGGTTGTTGTCTGCCAACTTTCTTAATAGAAAGAAACTGAATATTTTTTCAGCAAATAGCTTAAAAGCATATAATTTTTGCCTATTCATTGTAAATGACGATTTATTACTAAAATCAGCTCATGACGGAGACGTGCGTTTGAGTGATGTTTAAATGATAAAATGGTGGATACAATACAATTAGATTCGTGATGTTATCACACTCTTGGCAGGCTCCCTAGTGTTAAACGCGCTTAAAATATGCACTCGCTTTAGATAACGGAGTGATGAGTTATTATCCTTACTGTGTCTTGAAAGTGCAGACCACACATTGTGTTCGAACAAGGTAATTAATGCAGTGCTCGACTTTGGGTAATGATGTCAAGTGGATCGAGGGAACCGCATTTTCCATAAGAAGAATTTAAGCTCAACATGACTTCTCCCTATTCTTAGTTTTTTCGGTAAAGTCACGTTATTTTGTTGTTTCTCTTCAACGTGACTTTACCGAAAAAACTAAGAATATGAATTACTGCAGTCACGAAAGCTTTAAATCATGACTTCTCCCTGTTTCAGCCGAAATGATATATTTTTTTACACACGGGTTTGAAATGATAAATTATCCAGATTTGCCTGCTCTCAGTTTATAATTTTCACTATTCCCTTTGCGTATTTTGTATGCTTCACTCGCTGTGCACGCATTTTCATTTGCAGGTTGCATTCAGATCAAAATGCCTCAAACTACTTTGAATCAAGTCACTGTTCAGTTTGCAGTTGCATTTGACAGCACGGTTGTTTAGCAGCAGAGAGCAACAACAAGCTGTCCGCTCGCGCCTGCTACTTGTGTCCTCCGTGCACCACTCCGGGCCGGCCCTGCTTCTCCATGATCTTGCGGAGCTTCTGGAGGTTCGAGTGCGTGATGCTGTCGTCAGGCTTGAGGCGCAGCGCGCGGAGGTAATGGTTCTCGGCCTCCTCCAGCAGCCCGTTCAGGTGCAGGATGGCTCCCAGGTTCATGAGCGCTGTCGAGTGCTGCCAAAGCACAGACATGCACGGGTTAACACGCGCACTCAAATTCCCAACGACAAAGATAGCCCAGCCCAAGTATTGTTAACGAGCACCTATGAACGCCAGCACGACGCACGGAGGGGTGGGTGGGCCGGCACTAAGCATGATGATGATTGTTACTATAAAACTTGTTAAGTCGTCCTTCCGTTCGTTCCCTCAGTTCAGGGCAGCAGAGGTAACACTTGTGCTCCGAGTGTTACTCCTGCCTCGGGTGCTTTCCTGTGTGGAGTTTGCATGTTCTCCCCCCTGTTTTGATGGGTTTCCCCTGGGTTCCCTGGTTTCCTTGATAATTACAAAAAAGACGTACAATATAACTGGTATTGGCCAAAAATCCTAATGTAGAAAAAATGCAAATGACTCAATTGGGACTACACAAAGCAGCAACACCACTCCCTAGTGAAGAAACTTGGCAGGACCCTCCTGAAAAATAATCTTGAGACTCGGTGAAACTCTGCTGTTGTACACAAACGTAATAACAAAACATAATAAATACATCAGCTGCAATGTGGTCCGTGTGAATTTAGCCAATGAAATAGCCCAAGTGCTCAAAAATATGTTTTGGCATGAATAACATAATGAAAACCGGTTGCTTCATCTGCATCAAGGTAAGAGCTATATTGTGTTCATTTAAAAAGCTCCCAGGCCAGTCTGAGGCAGACATTAGGTTGGAAATTGGGAATAGCAGGGGCAGAATAATCACGCGTGTGATTGGTGAAAAATAATGTGTAGCTCTAATAATCAACAATTTGAATAAGAGCATTGCAACTGCATCTCAAGAATGGTTACAAATGAAATGGAATTGTCATTTTTTTTGTGGAATCATCAATTGTGAATTAGATTTGTATAATGGTCTGCTCCCATGCATAAAAAGTAGGAAATGTAATTAAATAATGCTAAATAATCTGGTCTTATCTATGACGCTGAAACATAGACGCAAGCAACATAATCCCTAAGATTGGAGGGCATCAGCAGGCATTAGTTATTATCAGTGGAAATTATTCTAAGGCTTAATGTTAAACAGGTATAGTGATTATAAAAGGGAATCCCAGACATGGGAAGTAGCCAAGTGAGAAGTAAATATAGTATTGGTGATTTGCGAATGTGTTTTGTTAAGACCGTGTTTGCCGTAGTAGGGGGTTGCACAGTGATAAGAATCAGTTAATTTGCTCTTGTAGTATCTTCAAGTGTGGCTTAGAAACGAGTGGAGAAAATTGAGATTGTAAAAACGTTAGAATAGCAGCTTGCAACTGGTGCTTGTTGCCACACGTCACCCCGGGCAGTCCTTCTTGCCGCTGATGTTAAAACGTCACACAAAGAACCCGCGCCGTTTAGACGGAGTTAGACAAGGCGGACGCCAAGGCAGGCACAGTTGATTATTGTTCACGATCAACGTGGCCTCAGGAATACAAACCTGGGTTGCAGTGAGTGTAGCACAGTGTGCTGCCGCAACACTGCATTATAAACAAACATGAGAATGGGGTTTGTTGCCAAAAAGACAAAGACCACCCCCCTCCCTACCCAACCACGTAGCTCCACAGACGAGAGAGGGGCAAGTGCCATTAGTGAGGAACTATTTAGTCTGGTGGGGCAAACGGAGTGCAGCAAGGATCACGCCCAGCTATAGCTTTCTTGTTTTAAGGCTGAGTCAAACTAGATAAGGCCCATGACAGGTTCAGATACCACGCTCCACAAACGCTGTATAATATAGCACCAAGAATTAAACCCACATTACTGGAATCATAATGTATGTATGTATTTTGAACTTCTTCTGCACCGTACGTAGCCAACCGTGCTAATCGGAGGTGCGCGGGAAAGACAACAAACTAATCACAAAAAAACATTTCTAAAGAAACGAGTTTTTTTTTTAACCTAGATTTAAAAGTGCATAGCTCCAGTGGCATTCCTTATATCGGAAGAGCATTCCAGATGGCCACAAAAGAGCATCTGAGGTCTCGGGATGCAGCGACCATCTTTGTCCGATGGCCAGCCAAAAGCCGTACAATGTACAAGCCACTGCACTACGAATCCTCACACAAGCACAAAAGGCAAGTGCTAGTGTCAAAAAACCTATTTAGAATGGTATATTGTGTGAGGAGGTGGTGTAGCCAGCACTAAGCCTGGTCACCTTTGTCTTCCCCATTCGTGATGTTTACACACCACACCGAGCACCCATGTAAGGCTCAGTCAACCTAGAGGAGATGCAGGACTGGTTCAGAGGATCACACGCAAATGGCCACTGGGTTCTTATCACAGTGCACTAACCACTACGTACGCAGCTCCCCACAAACACACATTTCTCATGCGATAATCATTTCACCAAGTGACGCGCACAGTATTCGCTCACTCTTGAAGACGGAGAATAGGACCCAGGCACTCGGATCCACGGGCAAGCAGGAAGGCAGCCGCGCGACGAGCCGGCGGAAACATTTTCGCAAGCTCTGCGGTCCGCGCTGTATTAAGGCATTCTCGGCCAATTAACGAGTGTTTACATCCGGCAGGAAACCGAAGCACCCGGAGAAAACCCACGCATGTGAGGGGGAAACACTCTATCCCGTATAGACGGAACAGGTGGAGTCCACAATTTTGATGTTAACGCATTCTTCTTGGGAACCGGGGTATAAGCTCCCCGAATCCCACGGGGAGTTTCACAGCGTTTGCGTGATCCACTAGGACGCGCCGCCACTGCCCGGCATACAAGCGAGTCCCATTGGGACACGCGTCTGACCCTGTGCCACGACAGTGTACTCCACTTGTCTATCATTTTCATCTACAACACGCACAGGGGACCTCTTACATTAACACGCAGTGGGACAGCCGCAGCCGCAGCAGCAGCAGTGGCTGCTTGCCACCTTTGTTTACAGTGGAAACGAAAATCGCTGCAATCGTGGAGGACATGACACCTTGTCACCAGGGGCCGTCCATAAATGACGTCACGCGATTTAGGACGATTTTTGACCGCCCCCCCCTCCCGTCGTCACATGGCGTCACAAAAAGTCAGACCCCCCTCAAACATGACGTCACAAAGCTCTGCCCCCCCCCCAAAAAATAGAACATGCTTCAAATCGCTTTAAACGATTGTCATTGTAGTGTGTATTTAATGTGGCGCTGCACTCTGATGTTGTAGGAGAAAACATTTATTAAAAAGTCTATTTAATTAAGTAGAACGTGTTGTCTATATTTATTTCAAGTTGCGCATTTTGATGTGACGTCACGTTTCTCAAACACCCCCACCCCCCTTCGTCACACGTCGTCACAAATGTCTGACGCCCCCCCCCCCAAGGTGCGTGACGTCATTTATGGACTGCCCCTCAGACGATGCGCAAAGAGAATAGGTTACAGTTAAGTGTTGTTGTCTCTTTGCTCGCTACTCTCAGCTATAATGCCCCGTAGCTACCACAAAGCTCTACGCATTGCGAACATAATCAAAAGTCATGGAAAAGATTACATTTTACATCATGAATGAATGACAAAGTGGTTGCCTCACAAAGATACGATATTATAGTATCTCTCGGATGAATGGATGGCTTTATCCCATCCATTACTACCTTACCTTACACTCTCAGTCTACCTTTCCTTTCCTACCTCTCACCTCATTCTACTGTTTGTGTCATTGCACTCTCCTAATTAGATATCAAAGAGGCCCTTATGATGAAGTTGAAGATTGCCGGGCTTTCACTTGTACAGATTTTGACTTGTGAGTTTTTTTGTTGTTGTCATATATCACATTATTATTAATAATAATGAATGTTAATACTTCCGCACGGAATTATTATCGTACATGGCACCAATTTTGTAAAAAAAAAAAATTCTATAATCGTATTCTTCCTGCAGTGCATTTACTCGCTGCACCACACACGCGGTCCATTGTCGTGCTGCTCCGAAGCGGTGATACAAATGCGCCATCATCTCCCTGCGGCTGTGAAGGCCGCGGCTAAATACATGTTGCTGATGAATGTTAAATCACGTGCAAAGGGAGGAATGGTGAAAGGTGCCCCTCTGACGTAGAAAGGTGACCCGGACCATGCAAAGACTTTGTACAGCTCACAGAAGAATGTTTTAAAAAAAATGTCTCAAAGAACAGGGCATCGAGTATTAAAATGGTCAGCCACAATGGATGTTTTGCCAAGGCCTTCACTGCTTGCAAGAGGAGAGGGCCTGGCAAGCTAACACGCGATTGAAACACTCAACCCCTTCCCTGTCTGGGGTGATGAGCAGCCAGCATGCTGAGTTTTATGCCCCCTATCTCACTTGCATTCTGAGAGCCAGGGGATTTGTATACCAATATCCAAGTCCTTATGTGCTTAAAACTGGTTAACATAACATTTAGAGATTTAAAAAAAAATCCAGTTCAATGCTAAAGTAACCTCTTAACACATTTGTATTGGACATCCTTGTATCTAGACAGGATACATTATTTATTAATAGTACATAGTTATAACTTGAAGCCTTTGCTAATTCACTGTTGGATGAAGGTCTTCCCTGGGCCGTGTTGGTCTGGGTGGTTGTTTGACCATACTCATCATGCTGCTCAGTGCGGGTTGGTGAAGAGGGGACTCAGGACCGATTCGGATATCACTTGCCACTGATGTTTGGCATGGTCGGGAATCGAACTCAGGAAGCTGGGTTTCCTACTGGAGTGTATCAACCACTGTGCCACAGTTCAGCCACTAGTTTGTATTGCATTGAAACAATACAATCTCTCCAAGGGAAAAAGCACACAGTGTACTGTATATCCTCAATTTCCTGTTTATGTATAGCTTTTTGCCTGGTCCTATTAGCCTAACAAGTATAGCTAAACAAACTGCACTTGCAGTAAACACACAGTAATACACCGATTACGAATACCAGAAATGTATATTGCTTGAACTTGTGTTGGATTCGGTAAACTGAAATGGCTCCATAGACCCATTCCTTATTCAATGCCCACAGCTCCCCACGTGAGCTTGCACTTACCCATGGGGGGT